ATATATATATATATATATTTATTTATTTTCTTTTTTTAAAAAAACAATTCACCTTATTTTGAAAAAGCTTGAAACATCTAGAAGTTATCTTTAATGTTTTTAAAAATAACTATCACTACTAATCATATTTTTAATGTTTGATGGTTCATCACCAATCTTAAATGATGACATTACTTGGTTATGTAGCTTTAGATCATATTAGGGACATTTTGGGTCAACATGCATGCATAAAGTAGCAACACAAGTTCTAATTCTGACATCATTCACCATATGCTTTCTCAAATTTAAATTAACCTTTTATTCAAGTATTTATAATAAATATTCAATAGACAAAGGCAAAAAGGCTCTTATTTCGGCTCTCTTTTTGAGAGAAGTATAATGTCCGATGGACATAGGTTCAGGGAAGAGTCAAGAAATTTTTTTTGGGCTATTTCGATTAGGTGCATATTAGTAGTATTCTGATAGTACTGTGATGATATTATACCGCAATACTAATACAATATCATCAAAATATCATTAGAATAATATATACAGTAAAATTTTAATGACATTTATGATGATATTGTACTACAATCTGACCACAATACCATCATAATATCATCAAAATATTACTAATCTGCACCTATGAGTGAGCTATCATCTCTTTATTTTTTAATTAAATTGAGCTCCTAGTTATCTTGAGCTCATCACACGCATGAGCATAAAATAATTTTTTATTTCTATAGATGGCCCGCATAACGAATTATTATAATTCTAAAGGTCATTTTTTGACAAAGAGGAAGTTAATTATATTGATTTATAATAATTGCACCTTTTTTTTTTCTTAATTACACGGTGATGCCGTGGGCACTTTAGTAAACTTGGATTGCAGGTCATTTTCCTTCTGAGTTTACTTTAGTAAACTTGGATTGCAGGTCATTTTCCTTCTGAGTTTAAGCGAGATGGAGAACGAAGCAAGCCCTAGTTGTTGAAATTCGGCCGTGTCTTCTTGGATTTCATCTGATTCATCCAATTCATGAACGGTTTCCTCGTCTGATTCTAGGGTCCGTATATGCAGATAGGTGCCTTTGCGATATCTTATTAATTGAAGCCTGCAACTGGTGAGAATGGTGTCAAAATTTTGCAGAATTCTGTCTCGCACTTTTGCTGTAGCTTTCGGGGTTTGGGAATATTGATTATTTTTCTTTCCTTTTTTACCCCAAGATTTTTTTCCCATGACAATAAGTTTTTAATTTTTTATTTAGAGATTTTGTTCTCTGGAGATTTGTCGGTAGTTCTGAATTTACTTGGATGATTTTCGACGCTGCTGTTCTGGCCGATTTTAATCGTGTATTTGTTTTCGATATAAAGCAACCTTTGATGCATTTGGGGATCTTATGCAGGGTTTCGTGATTCTGAAATATAGTCTTTGCTTAGCCACTTGTTGGAGAGTTTATGATTACAACCATTGAGGATTAATTATGCTTTATGTCCGCATTCTCTCAATGACATTGGATTTTGAGGAATCAAGATGATAAAAATACACATTTTGATGTTCTGAGGATTAGTTGTCTTCCAATTTTTGGAAAGAATGTTCATTGGTGCTTCAATATTCCAAAACAAACCCACCTCTTTCACAGTTATGTCACGCCGCAACACAATGAAACTCCTATTATGTAGGGGACCACATTATGTTGAGAAGCAAATGATGATAACTTTGATCAAATATTTCTTTAAACATAAAGACAGATCTTTCACTCACAAATTCTTCTTATGACCTGGATCTATTTAGAAATATCCTCTATAAATTTGCATTACTCATATAAACACTAATAAATCGTCGTAAAAAAAAAAAAGAAAAAAAAAAAACAGAATCAAGAAACATAGAATGCCATTTACATGATTGTACTATTGACATTTAGAAACATAGAGTGTCATTTACATGCTTGCACTATTGACACCCAAAACATATGATACACTTAGAATATTTAGATTGATATCTATATAGAATATGAGGCGGACACCTCAGTTTTGACAAGGTGAAGTGTGTCTTATTGTGTGCCTAACCAACATTGGGGCATACACAACATGCAGATCGCGTGCGGTGTATGCCTAGATGCTGATTTTCTGCGATTGCACAGAGGTGTGTCTTACAAAATCTTGAAATCATACCTTTAACAAGACTCTAAAATTTCTATAACCCATTTGTGTAGAAATTTTATTTTGTGCCCAAGCCTTTCCATATTTATCTCTACACCGTAGGTGAACTTTTATAGTTTGAGATAAACACCTCGAGTATACCATATAATTTTTTAACTGCTTTATATTTAACTATGTCATTCTTTTCATTGAACTTGTTATCTAAGATAAAAAAAAGAAAATTTGCATATTTTTTCAGTTGATTAATAATGACGCATTGAACATCATGTTCTCGTTCTGATCAAGGCAACCACATTGTAAAATTAATTGTGCATTCCTTCTCCTCAAACTCTAGAATTGGTAATGGTTGCAATAGCCTACCGGGACATTAATATTTCTACTTTTGTCATATGACAATATTCACACTTGTCAGCAAATTTAGCTACTTGTTTCTCTAGCAAAGCTAATCATTATATAACCTCCACATGTTAGTATTCTTTAATCATCTATCTTTAGTGTTGCTCTTTGTTTTTACCTAGCTTGATCATTTAGTAACTCATATCTTTCATCAGCTTGTTGGCCTGCATGAAATCTCTCCAATTGAGTAGGTTAAATAATCAAACGAGGTAGGTACTCTTTCCACATATTAGCTGTTCTCGCCATCTCCAACTTAAATTTCTCCATCTCTTGGATCAATGAAACATTAGTAGAAACTATCCTTTTACTTGTGTGGATTTTTGCTCAATGCATTCTCTACAGTATTAGGTTTCCCAAGGTAATATCAGATATTGAAATTATAGTATCTAATTAGCTTATGCCATCTTATTTGTTTTAAAAGTATACCCTTATCGTGTTAACATATTGTGGAAATCTAAGCTTTCTATTATAGATGTATTCTCGTTTATTCATTTCTTATTATGTTGTATTTCTTTCCTTTTGTGAGTTGTTGTGTCTTTGGTAAGTTGTAATGGTAGAACTAAGTTTTCCCTTGCCTTTTTATATAAGGAGAAGAGTTATAATTTGATCATTAAGAAATAAGAGAATACAATTTTCTTTACATTTTCTTAGATATTCTTCAACGTCTAATGTCTTCTGTACACCTTGTATTTTATACTATAGAAATATCACTTCATTCTTCAATGCAAATGTGATAACAATTAACTCCAAATAGTTTAGCTTGTGGGAAGAAGCATATGCAATAATTTTCTCATTCTACATTAGAACATAACTTAATTTTGTAAGTGAAGCCTTACTAGTGATTTAGAAAGCTTTAATACTAGAGAAATTTTTATAATAGTTGTTGACACAATAATTCTTTAGGTTCCAGCAATTATCTTTACATTCTATTGTCCATCTAAACTACATGATATCTTGCGGCAATCTTGTCAAAGTAACAACAATTTTTGAAATTTCTTTCACAAAGTTTCTATAATAGCTTTCCATATTAATAACTTTTAAATTCTAGTACTTTTGTGGGCCCTAGCTGCTTGGCAATTTCCTTCACTTTTTATAGTTCAACTAAAAATCTAAATCCACTAATAATATTCTCATAAATTCTATTATGCTTGGATAAATTGAAATTTTGAAATTTTTGGCATAGAACTTATTTTTCTGAATGTCTCCAAAGCCAACTTAAAAAAATATGATCTAAATTGGCCCTTGATTTATTATATCCATGAACATCTTTATGACATTAGCCATATCAAAAAGAAATCACTAGAAAATTTTAGTGGCCTTATATAGTGATGGCTGTCGTCTCTACATCCTTCTTCCTCTTTAGTCGATGATAGCCAAACTTCAAATTTTAATTAGAAAACATTGATGTACATTTGAATTGTTCAAAAAATTATCATCAGGGATAATTGGTACTCCCCTTAATCATCACCTAATTCAACTTAATGTAATCGATACAGATATGCATAATGTCATTTCTCTTCACAAATATTACAGGAGCTCTCTAGGCTGACATCCTGGGTTTAATAAAATTTAGTAATCAACTCTTATAGTTGAATATTCAATTTTTACATTTCTTAAAGGTTCATCCTACAGAGAGTATTAGCTGTGCGTGTAATATTAGGTACGAACTTAATACTCTACTTCTCATTCAATTGGTAAATTCACCAACTTTTCTAAATTGCACCTATGAATTCATTCACTACAGGTAATTCATTGAGCATTCCTATTGCATGGAATGCCATATTATTTTTCTTCCAATTTCTAGCAATTCGGATCAATGAAATCAAAGTGGATAACACATCTCTATCTCCTTGAAAACATATCTTATGATTATCTCCCAAAAATAATGTTTTCTTCTTCAATTCACTATCTATATATACTGCATATTTACTTTGCCAACTTATCCGCAATATCACCTTGAATTTATTCCGTGCTAACACCATCCATTTGGATTCTAACCTTTTAATAGATATTTTCATATGACATATGCAAGCCTAACTAGCTATCATATAATTTCAAGCATGCAACACTGCCAACACAATTAATAAATTAATATGTAATGTAATAGGAAGTAAATATACCAATGCTAAGAAATGCTTATAAATGAAGGAATTGCTGACACCAAAATCAAACTTGATTTGACTATAATATTTAGAAATGAGAGCTATACTGGTGGTAATATCAGCAACATTCCAAATTTTCTATTGAATCAAGGTGCACACCCTCTCTTGCATAGGTGTAGATGCTCTTGGAGTTTACTCCCTTTGATTGACTCTTGATTTTGTTAATAGCATTCTCCCCCATCCCTACTTAGAGAACTCTTACTATATGTTCTTGAGGCAACTGCTCTTTATCTTCACACACACTTCCACAGATGTTGGCTTTCCGCTTATCACATAAATGCCGATATTTCCTTCATCAGGTGCTTGATATTTCCTTGATTGTTTAGGTCGAAACTTGGATTTCCTTGAAGTTATGTCATGGAGTTTAGGATATATGGAATCAATAATACTCTTTGGTTGCACACTTTCTATTCTCTATAACAAAAATTGCTTAGAACTCTATCCATTTATCACATCCTACTCTTGTTGTGCCATATGATCGCTAAAGCAGCACCACCGTCACCACGCCCACCTCCTAATCAATTTCCATATGCTTATAAAACACAAGTTTGTTATGCACTAAATAGACAAGTAATATCATCTTAATACATTAATTCCCATGCATTGCAATTGCATAAAGGCAGAGCTTAAGCTTCCCATTATCTACAAATCAAACTATAGTACTAGTTTTTATTTAGTACTCCCAATTTCATTACTTGGTCATCAATTTTTAATTGCACTCCAACTTAATATACTCCTTACAATATAATAGATCACATTAAGTTGTAGTAGTGTTAGAGCCCGAAGCTTTGTTTTTCTTAAAGTGGTGGGACACATATAAATTCAATTATAATACAAATTTTTAGTTTATTGTAACTGATAATTATTTTCATTTAGATTTTGTTTAAGTTTTTTGGTTACTATGATAAAAATAAAAAAAATCTTATTGTATAAAATTATAATTGCTTACATTTAGTATTATTTTAATGACCATTATATAATTAATTGTTTATCAATATAAGTCTTAAGGCCATCAATTATATTTTATTTTTTAATTTCACTACACGTCATTAACATAAATTAATATAACAACAACAACAACAACAAAGCCTTAATCCCACTACGTGGGGTCGGCTACATGAATCCTTTTTCTCCATTGCATCCTATTTAGTGTCATATTTTCATTTAGTTCTAGTAAATTAAGATAATTTTTAATACAATAAGCCCAAGTCTTCCTAGGTCTACCTCTGCCTTTCT